TTATTAAATCAAGTTCTAGTAATAAAATAAATCCTTGTTAGCTTGACATCAAAGTAGTACGTACTGGACAAATATATTAAATGAGTTATTTTTCATATGTTGTGTCCGTTTAATTCAAAAAAATCAGAGTTATCATCTATTTTCCACTCTTTTAACGCTGAATCAGCGTGAAGTATAAAAAACAATAGGGTTATAATCTATTTTTCACATCTTGTAATGAGCGTTGTTTTTCTACCCAGAACATTAAATATGAGTATATTAGGGCTAGCTTGTAAAATAATTAATATACTATCTCACTAACACATTTATACTAATATAAATTTGATTTTAGTATATGTATTTATTCTTAATATAAGAGAAAATAACAGTTTTACTTATTCTTTTTTACCGTATAATACTTAATTATTATTTTATTATAAACTTTTTTGTCATATAATGTGATTATTATATTTATAAAAGATATAGAAGTTGTACATCTTTTTTTATTTTTGGTTTATGTAATGAAAAATATTTAATGCACGTTAGTATTATTTATTTATGCAATCAATTTAAAATATGTAAATAAATTTAAAATTGAATAGTGTATAAATATTTTACAAATACACATGCATGTTTTTTTAGAATTTAATTTTATATACTAATTAAACACCTTTGATTTAGCAAAAGCCAAAATCTCAATCCCTTCTATAATCAGGATTTTTCTAATTTTCATTATAAAGATTTATAGTTTATTTAGCATACTCTGCAAGGAAAATATATTTTACAAAAATTTCATTATAGAAAGAAATCAAAATAAAAAAATAATCATGGTTGCCAATAATAAACAAATAAATTCTAAAGAATAGTTAATATATTGCAATTTTAATTATTGACCATTAGTAAAATTATTTAATGTATCTAGTCATTACTCTTAAATGGTAAATTATATTAATTTGAAGAATAATTTATTTTTTATATGTAACGAAATAAAGCTCAAGAAAAAATTATATTGGCAAAGATTAACTCACCAACTCGATTTCGCCTGATTAAATTGGAAGAAAAAATTCTACCTAATCTGTTACATTTTTGTTTAAATATTTTTGGATAAAAAGTAAATATTTTTGAAAAACAAAATTGATATTATGGTTAGAACTTAAAATATGTTGTAATATTTATCTTGACCAAAATATTATCAACATGAATCACGCAAAATAAATTTTGTAATTTATTTATAATGGATCTCAATGAAATTATTGCAGATATTAATAAAATTATTTAAGTAAACAATATTCTTAATCATATCTAATTTGATCTTATTTGAAAATGGTTATATGAAATCAATTAATGTATATATTTATAGTAAATGCTCAGAAAAAATAAAGGGTATGCATTAAATGCTCTGAAAAAATTTACTACTATTTTTAGTAAATGGTTATTTTACTACTATTTTTAGTAAATGATTATTCTTGTTATATATATATAGGGGTTGGTTCAAATAAAAACTAGTTCTGGTGTGAGAACCATATTTGATGCTCTTTTTAATTGTACATGATGCTATTTTTACTATTACATGATGCTATCATTTTTATAAATACTAATGTAAATTGTGTTGCTATTTTTAATAAAATTCATCCTCGTTAAAAAAAAGCACCAAACCCTACGCATAATTAAAAATAGCGGTTCTCTCGATTCTCACAATAAGACTTAGTTCTCATTTGAACTATATCACATATATATATATATATTACTCGAGGACAAGGTGTAGTATGCAATACATGGTAAGCTTCTTTAATAATACTCTTTTGATTTTTTACTTCTATGTTTTAATGTTTTAAATGCGTACAAGTATAAAATCAACAACTAGAATAGAAAGGTCAGTAATGACGTTGACGAGCATATTTGCATATTATAGGGTTGTATTCAATTGGGATTTTAAGTGACACTTTGAGACTTTTTAAAATTTTCAGATTTTAGAGAAATTATGTGAAATCTTAAGTCTGAAGCTGGGATTTGAAGTAAGATTTCGTATAAAGTTTTTTGTTTAGAAATTCCACCGAATCTTAAAAAGTCTTAACAAATCTTAGTCTCAAATAAGTTAAATACCTCATGATTTTGTAAGACTTTTGAAAATCTCAATTGAATACCCCAAGACTTTTAAAAGTCTTAACAAATTTAAATTGAATACACAAGAATTTCTAAAATCTTGCATCATTTGTATATTCAGCTGAGAGCTTGGGGCTACCGTATCTAAGTGCTTACCTTGATGCATTGGGCTCCAACTTTACTCATGGTGCGAATTTCGCAACGGCTGGATCAACCATTAGGCCTCAAAACACAACCCTACATCAGAGTGGGTTCAGCCCGTTTTCACTAAACGTGCAATATTACCAATTTCACGATTTTCAGCACCGATCCAAGATCATTCGCGATAAAGGTCAACGCTCATTTGGCTATGTCACTAACTTAAGTTGGTATGCAAAATATTGTATTCAATTAGAAGCTTAGCTATTTTCATTTTCAGGGGGAGTTTATGAAAGGCTATTGCCCAAGAACAAAGATTTTCAGCGTGCATTGTACGCATTTGATATTGGACAGAACGATTTGACCGCGGGATATTTCCTTAACATGACGACCGATCAAGTCAGAGGATATGTGCCCGACGTATTGGATCAATTCAAAGCTATTATGAAGGTAAAAAAAATAAAAAAATTATATGCTACAAGTGTACATATTTGTTCAGAAACTAAAAATTGGTTGTTGTGTTTTATGCAGAACATATATAATGATGGAGGAAGGTCATTCTGGATACATAACACAGGCCCAGTTGGCTGCTTGCCTTATATTCTGGACCGGCTTTTGATTACAGCTGCACAAGTAGATAAGGCTGGTTGCGCGAGCCCTTTTAATGAGGTTGCTCAATATTTCAACCTTAGGCTAAAAGAAACAGTTGTCCAGCTTAGAAAGGATCTCCCTTTGGCTGCATTAACCTATGTGGATGTCTACTCAGTCAAGTACGAGCTCATCAGCCGAGCCAAAAAGCACGGTATATATATGTATATATATACACAAAGTCGGTTAAATTGCATTTTTAGTCCTGCTGGTTTAACGCCATAGCATTTTTAATCCCAAGATTATAAACATTTTGCCTTTTGGTCCTGTAGTTTAATATTTTGCTGCAACAAATTTCCAAATTTATAGATTTTTAATTAGCAATTTAAGTCCTATAATTGAGAATTTTGCTGCAAGTCCTGTTTAAAATTTTGTTGTAATTTCAGTTCTCAAAGGACTGAAATTGCAGCAAAATATTAAATCATAAGACCAAAAGGCAAAAAGTTGGAACCTTGGGACTAAAACTGCCATGGTGTTAAACCAACAGAACTAAAAATGCATTTTTCCCCACAAAGTCTGATCCCTACATGATATGATAGTGTTTGTTTGTTGATGCAATACTTACAGAGCTAATTATGAATGCAGGATTTGTGAACCCTTTAAGAGCGTGTTGTGGGCATGGAGGAAAGTACAACTACAACATTCACATTGGTTGCGGGGGCAAAATCAAAGTGAATGGGAAAGAGATTATGGTGGGAAAATCATGTGATGATCCAAGGGTTGTGATTAATTGGGATGGTGTCCACTATACCCAGGCTGCCAATAAATGGGTTTTTGATCAGATTGTGAGCGGTGCTTATTCGGACCCTCCAATTCCCTTGAAAATGGCCTGTCATACTCAAACCCACTTCTTACGCTAGCCTAAGATTCTATCGATTACATGAAAAATAATTTGTCTCATCACTGGATCATTGCATCATCTTTATGTTGAATCCATGTTTCAAATTCGGAGATGATCTCAATTTACAACTTCAATAATGATTACATGAAAAATAATTTGTCTCATCACTGTATCATTGCATCATCTTTGTGTTGAATCCATGTTTCAAATTCGGAGATGATCTCAATTTACAACCTCAATAATGTTTGCCATTTTTTCCTTTAGAAATGATAGAATGTATAATAGCTTAACAACGCAAAATATTTACAATGTTCGAGAGCTAACTTGCTCAATACACTTCCACAAGGAAGACATGGATAAAACCACAACTAGTGCATAGACAACCAAAACTCAGGTCTCCCATTCCTGGCCACTTCAAACCAAAAGAAAACGAAGAGCCAAACTAAAAAGGCTAGCCACCAATGCACCAAAGGGCCTAGTTGCTAGCACACAGAGACATAACAGAGAAAAACAAACAACAACAACTAAAAACAGAGCTACTAATACTAACAGCTAAACTCAAACCAATCAGCTACAACAACATCTCCTTAAACCAAGTTTGAACAAGTAAATTATATTTGAAAATAATGGACAAAAGATTAAAAGAGAGAGCTACTTGTTCTAATCAAGTTTGAACAAGTAAAATATTTTTGAGAATAGCGGATAAAAGATAGAAAGACATTTTGACTTTCAGAGTGCAAACTAAGTTTTTAATTAGTCGTCTTCTAATATAATTCTCAAATATTGATCCATTAAACAATAATTTATTAAATTCACCGACACCTCAAAGCACCAAATCACGCAGGCCACTCTGGTATGGATGTCTACGGATCAAGCATTCGCAAGAGGAGGATTTTATCCCATTAATTATATGTGCCGACCTTAGACCTTGTCAACACGTAATTAATAGTCAATCTACTTTTGGCCAGCACAAATAAAAGTGTAATTCCTCGGGGAGACCACAATTAGGTGTGCTCTAAGTGTGACCTATTATTTGGTACTAAATCCACTGCCAAAATTCTACATCCACCTCGGGGTGACCCGTGCGCTTTTGAAATAGATTTCTATAACCATCCCAAAGGAAGTTCGTCCTAGTGAACTTTTGAATAAAAATTGTCCTCAATGAAGGAGACCTATTGTCAACGCTCAATTTTTCTTCACCGACAAACCGGAAATGGAGGTCGTAAAATTTTAAATTTATTTAATTCCATTCACCACTTGGTATAATTTTTAATAAAGGGATTTTCCTAAGCATGCTCCTATTAATTTTCCTTGCATACTAAGTAACAAATTAATTTAGGACATGCATAATTAAAGGCAATAATAAACTTTCTAGTTTATCAAACTATCATGTCCAATAATTAAGATTCCAATCTTAATTGGAAACTAGCAATCCTTGTTTCCTTGTTTCATGGTCTGACGATGCAAGCCTGCTCGCGCGCAATATCGCTTGAACCGTCGACCGCGAGTTCGCGGTTGGCTCCTCCTCGTCGGGATATGCCGGTCGTCATCATCTTGATCGTCCAGGCTCGTCCGTGTCCATGAACAATTACATAATATCCAATTACATAAATTGATCCTATGGCCCACGTAGGGGTCGTACATGAATGATCTAGTAAAGCAATAAACTATGCGGTGTCCCACTGTGCGAATAAATTATTACAATCATTCCACAACCGAAAAAATCTCTGACATGTCCGAGACTTATAAAATATATATGAATTAAAACACACAAATGGGCCACGATAGTCGGATTTAAGAATACTTGCAAACAACACTTATTTGCAATTCTAATCTACTATGTGTTGCGCCCGTACACAATTAATTCACAGATGTCATGCAAGTTCTAATTCGAATAGTGCACAAAAAGGAATTAGTCTGGGCTCTGATACCAATTGTTGGGTTCTATGAGGAACGTCGTCCATGTGCACCTTTAAATCTATTGAAAATAAATCCTAAATCAGCGGAATCTATTGTTAGGATTAGGACTTACGGTTTAACTTCTTTTTTGACTCTGAGAGAGATGTGGGTAAGTTTTGAGAAGAAAGGAGATGGGTAGGTGAAGAAAGTGCATCGAAGATGTCAGATTGGAAGAAAAATATCTCACTCTGATTTTCCCAAAATAGGTTTGTCTGAAAGTAAATAAAATAAATAATAAGGGATATATTGATAATTTAAATGTTCACCATGTGGTCGTCGCATCACATCCTTCAAGGAACGACATCGTTTTTGCCGACATAAAACAATATCATTTTCATGTTAAAACGACGTCGTTTTGAAGATAGTGGGACACGTGTCAACCATTGAGAGTCATTACTGCCTTTTTATATAATATAAGAGTATAGATATAGATATACAAGATGAGATTACACTTCTAACCCTAATCTGATTTATGGTCCAAATCAAACATCACAAATCGGGTCATATAATATTAAACATTAACAAACTATTGTACACGTATTCACTTTAATTTTATTAAGTATTAATTCAATTACGCTCAATTAAGTATATAGTCCACAATAATATCAGATATTATTCTTACAATGAGAACTATAGCTGAAGTTTTCTTAAATAGAAGCCCATCACTTCCAAAATAAGAACTGTAGCCGAAGTTTTCTAGAAAAAAATTCAGTATCAAACCTTTGTAAGAAAAACATACCAAGTTGGTTGTCGTAGAGTTAGATCCAAGAGAATGTTAACTAAAAATAATAATGTATCGATCCTTCGTTAACAAAAAAACGTTGGTTGTCGTACAGAATTAGATCCAAGTGAATGTTAATTAAAAAATAATAATCTATAACGAATGAAAAAACTTGTAATCCAAGCAGCATTTTGAAAGGCTTCCTCTGTTGCGCAGTCAATCTAACGTAATCTAAGCCACTCGCCAAAATGGCTTGAGTTAACAACTCTGTTGGGACTTATTTTCTGCATTTGGTAGCTTAAATCAACTACCATAACCGTAATATCATCTAAACTACCTCGAGCTACAGCAAGGTTTACGAGCTCCTTGCAAGCACCCAAAAGAGCGTCATGACTGGACATATCACCCAAGAACTCATTCTCGTTATTCAACGCTATCTTCTTTTGTTTTTTCAACGATATCCTTTGAGACTTGGATGGGGGACTTGCATTTTCGCAATATTGTTCGTCTCGGCTTGTTTTCTGGTGATAAGTGCATGCTTTGCGTGCCTTGTGGGAGAATGTCGTATTTTTTGTGAGGAGAGTAGTTCTTGGTGAATTTGAGAAAGAGCTAAAACTTGAACCAACCTCTTTTACTGGGGAAGATAATTTGACAGCTTTTTTCTTGGAGCACAACTGTGTAACTATGTCTACGGCTTCTTGATTGCTTACCTGAAATTTTAATGAACGTGATAATTAGATTAATGACATCATTCTACTTACACATGCGGCGTTCAGTTTTTTGTAATGACATCATCCTACTTACGAAATCAGCTAATCTAAAACTCACTAATTTTTTATTTATTTATTTATTTATTTTTTTTAATATCAAAGGTTTCATAATACCTCTTCCCAAAGCCCATCAGAGGCTAACACGAGGTATTCCATGTCGGACGTCAAACTTAAAACCTTTGTATCAGGCTCAGCTATTACCCAATCCTTCAAATGAGAGTCACCAATGCTTCTTGAAACTGCAAGTGTCCCATGAACCCTCCAAGCTCCACGATGAAACTCCACATACCCACCCTTTTTTGATAATTTTTTTTAAGAATCAAGAAATATAGATTTAATATTCAAGAAAAAACTCACGTATCTGAATAAACAAAATAAAATGGTTCAAGTGTGGTAACCAACTACCTTTTCCTGTATTCGGCTTCGCTCATCCTCTAATCCCGGTTTATGATCAGTTGTGATGGCCTCCGCAATGCCGTCCCTACATAAAACTGCTCGGCAATCTCCCAAGTTTGAAATAATCATTTCTTGACCTTCAATCAAAGCTGTGAGACAACATACACCACTTCCCAAGCCCTGCCAAAGAATTCCTAGTTTTAGGTGAATAATTACATGCAGAAATGGGAGAACCAAAAAAAGAAACTCAATTTATCTGGTATGTTATAGAATTGGCTCGTAAATGTGTGGAATTTTTTTACTAAATGATGGTTATAGTTATTTTGTTTTGCTTCATTGTTACTTTTGGCTAACTTTAGAGTGGTTTTATAACCTTATCTTTAATTTCTCATGATTTAGTTCAATATAAAACTCATTATAGAAACTTTACTTTGAATTTTCATCAGAGGTCAACAAATTTGAACAACTCAAATACTCAATATACGGATGTACTAATAGGTTAGGCAAAAAGGCCAAGAAATCATATAAAATTTTCTTGCTTGCACACTCCACACTTCTCAAATTAACACACACTGCAATATGAAGACCGATTGGAACCTTCCCTAACTAAATTATTGACATAAACGGCATTTGCAGTTTTAAAGTTTGCCATATTTGTGAGAACTTACTAGATAGCTGCAATATACAATAAATCAAGATTTATAAATTAGATGTGGACAAGAAAAATTGAAGTACAGTACAATATTCGTCTTACCAAAGGTACCCAGTTTTCTAATTGATTTGATAAAATGTAAGAGGATTCCCCAACACACAGTCTGATAATACAGCAATTACCTGTTTCAAGAACTCCTCGTCTGTTTTCAAATAACCTTCCTTAACAGCTTCTTCTCTTTCTTTATTTTCAGAAGAATGATTCAACATTTCGAAAATCTTCAAATGCAGATTTTCAGTCACAAACTCAGCAGCCTTACTCCCTCCATGCCCATCATATACCCCAAAAAATACCTACATTTCAAAGCAATACAATTTAATATTTTCCTTTTTTGAAGTTTGTAACCTGAGATTGAACTCCAGGCGTCTTATTTGGAATTTGAGCCTTAATCACTGGACTACCTATCTATTATAAATCAAATTCTCAATTTAAATCACTTTCCCTTCCAACAAAATTTTATTTTTTAACAGACCGCACATGAATAAAAACTAAAAAAAAAGGAAGGAAAAGGAAAATTGAACAAGAGGAAAGGAGAATATAGAACTTGCTCAGTTCTCAAAATCAAGTATAAATAGGATCAGCTTAGCATCCCAAGATCGAGATTCCGGTCAGAGCATACACAACAACAAGTAACAGAAAATTTTAAACCTCGAAATTCACTCAGCCAAACAAGTGTGTTTGTATCCCTAACCTTGTCACCATCTGCAGATGACAAAACCCTGTGCGCATCCTCCATAAATTTTTTCTTGCCCTTGACAGAGAAGACACCGACGCCATTATCAGCAAAGCATGTGGAGGCTTCGCGCATCTTGACAATATCAGGCGAAATATCATGTAGGACATTCGGGATCTCGATTTTCGGGGGTCTCTTTCTCTTCAAGGAACAAGGAACGACGCCGTTTCCCTTTGGCCCTCCAAGAAATTGTCCTCGGCTAGTGGTGATGGCGGGAATTTCAAGCATTTCTTGGCATCTCGAATTTGAGACGCTTGCAATCAGTACATCTGCCATTGCTCTAAGGAAAGAAAAAGAAAAAAAACGAATGGAGCTAAAAATTGGGACTGGAAATGAGTTGAATGTCAAATCTGGGAACTGATTTTGAGCTGAGAAGGTCGCTTTCAAGCTCAACGACTATAAATTTTCTGGCCGAGTCAAAAGTACCACAAATTCATGGCAGTTGATGTTGTCGTTTTGATGAGGTCAAAGGCTCTGGGTGGAAAAGTTTGAATATTGTGGCCGCGCCGTTGGGGAATTGGAGTCTGAAATAAAAGTGTCTTTCTGCTCAATTCAAAAGACTTC